GACTTTTTACTTCAAAATAATCGTAAAGGCCGGAAAAATATAGTCAGCAGTGGTCACCCACACTTCTCAAGATAACTGAATTTTTCTATCAAGGAATTACATGTGCAGTTATGGCTATACTATCAATATAGATGTGTCAAACGTTTTAGTTAAAATGTATAAATATATCTAAAGTGACAACCTATATAAATTTTTTTGTCATAGTTACTAATATGGTTTTAAACAATTTGTTAGTATCATTAGTGTATGAGTTTTTAAGAAAGTATTTTTATGTTATGAAAGTAACATATATATTTATCGCTCATGCATGCTAGCAAGACATGTATGCTTACTTTAATCAAATCCTAATATATTAGTTAATATTGATGGAAGTGGATAATGTAGAAACATATATATGCTCTATGGTGAAACATAGAGTTGTGGTTATCTAATGTAATAACATATATTAGTATTTACATTTAGATTTGAGAGATATTTTTATTTTTTATAACGCCCTAGGCAGATACAAACATAAAAACAGTACTTCATATTTAGGGGCGGAGCTTGGTTAAGACCATGATCGGCCATGGCCACCGTTGCCCATTTAATCTGCATTGTCCAAACAGTGTTTCCTAGACTATTCAATAGTGTTTGATGCTCAATTATATAAACTGGCCCCCTAATCCTAGGGTCAAGCCCCGCCACTATTTATATTATCTTTCATAATGGCATATTTTTTGGTATCTAGAATGCAAACTTAGGAGGTTACTTTGCATTATCTTTTATAAAGACAATGATGGATAATTTATAAAATCATTAAGGGGCATTCTACATTATTTTTCATAATGATAGATGTGAGTAATTTGGATATAAAGTTATCGAGTTATTTTAAAATTGTCTTTCATAATGGTAAAAATGGGTAATTTAGATGCAATGTTACGTGGTTATTTCGAATTATATTTCATTATGACAAAGGTGTGTAATTTAGATGCAAATTTAGGGGGTTATTTTGAATTACCTTTCATAATGATAGACGTGGGTAATTTATGTAAAAACTTAGGGGTTATTTTGAATTATCTTGAGTAATGGCAGATGTGGGTAATTTAGATGCAAAATTAGGGGGTTACTTTATATATTTTTCATAATGGCAGAAGTGGATAATTTTTTTTATAAATTGTAATGGATCCAATGGCTATTATCAATGATGATGATTCGAGTCTATCGAATTAAAGGCTAGATGTTTCTTATTATTGTGAGAATTTTTAGGATTTTTCTTTTTTCGTAGCGCATCTGGTGGGAATTAACGTGGTGTCGCTATTGGGGCCTCTAATTAGTAATAGTGAGATAAGATACTAGACCGTCTTGGTCCTATTGGAGGCACTTGCTATACTTGTTTGGCCAGACATTTTGGTCCTATTGGAGGCGGCCACAACAAATAATTAGTCGTTGTAGCTAGCATACAGGAATGACATGGTATTTTGGAGAAAAATATTTTATTCTTGGTGGACATTTGTTTAGCCATCCAGTTGCTGCACAACTGGGTTATCCCTGAGACGCTTTGTTCACAGGATTTGGATGTAGCGGTGTGGAACATTTTAAAAGGAAGGTGTAACACCCTAAAATTTGCACTCTTTTAAAATAGCTAAATTGATTTATTTATGCAAATATGTGTGCATTAAAATATAGAAAAATAATAAATTTTGTGGAATTAAAATTAAATATAAAGTTAGAAACTTCTTGATGCATACATGCTGCTGCATATCTAATTTTGTGATGATTGATCTTGATTCAAAGTTCAAATGAATTCAAAACCTATTTGAAAATGCTTTTGGAAATCTATTTGGAAAAAAGAAAAATGCAAAATTCATTTTCGACCTCCCTTCTTCATTTCGGCCCTTTGGCCTAGCTCCTTCGGCCGCTGGCCTTTTCCTCCGCTTGACCACCGCCACCACCAGCGCCTCGCTCGGCCACCAAGCCAGCGCCCACCCAGCTCGCCTACCTACCTTGCGGCTGCCTTGCAACATGGCCAAATCACTGGCCGGCCCAAAGCCGAACGGCCTGGCAGCAACCGTCGCCGCGTCTCCTTCCCCAGCCACTGACGCCCGGGCCCCGCCTATCGGCGCCATCCCATTCCTCCCACATGGCTCGGAACCGCCCGCCCGCGCTTGACGCAGCTGCAACCGCCGCCCACGTCGTGCGTCGTGGGAGCGCCCCCCGCTCCTCGGCCTCGATTTAAAGGAGCCGAGCCCCCCCCCCGCGCGCTCCCCTGCTCTCCCAACTTCGTTTTCACCATCGCCCACGCCACGGAGGTCGCAACCGTCGCACGGAAGAGCTTCGCCGACCGCCGTCCGCCCCTCCGCGCGAAACGCCATCCCCGAGTTGCGTTCATCCCCGATTGAAGTCGTGGTGAGCTTCGCCGTGCTCCCCTCCTTTCCCCTGTGCTTTCAATTTTGTATTTCGTGGCCGTTTGGGCCCTTTTCGCGAGCGTCCGCGAGCTTTGGCCGCCGGCCATGGCGTCCGCCGCCTCGGCTCCCTCCTCCGGCCGCCGTAACGGCCATTGGCGAGTTCCCCTTCACCCCAGCTAACTCCCGGTTTCCTCGGTTCTTCGAACCGTTGCCCATAGGCCGTGTTCCGTGCACGCCAGAGACCTCCACGCCGCCGGCCATGGAGTTTGCCACCGGCGTCACTGTTCCAGCCGGACCCCTTCCTTCTCTCCTCCCCCTGATCTAATCCGAGCCACCCATCCTTGATCCGATGGCTCTGATTGGCCGATACCCCTTCGCGGGTTATTTTTCTAAAGAGCCCCTTGGTTCTCATCTAATTGAACCTACAGTCTAATGCGTAGTTCCCCGAATACGCATTCTCATTTTGAAAACGTAAAGTTCACTGTTTTAGTCTAAAATACGTTTTCAGTATTTACAGAAATGCCACTAGATTTGTTTTGCTCTTAAAACTTCGTTTTAGCTCCGAATTGATCCGTTCAAATTGCGTTAGCTTCGTAATTTCATAAGCTACGTGTTAGTACCACTGTTAATCAATTTTGCAACTTTTAAATTTCATGGTTAGGTTTAATTAAATAAAGTGCTATAGGAAAACCCGTTTAATTCATAACTTTCGCGTTTTAACTCCGTTTTTCGTGAACTTCGCGTTGACGTGATCATAGCGAGACGTAGATTATTTTCATAAACATTTTATCTTGTTTTCTATACTGTTGGTGTACTGTTCTAATTATATGATTTATTTGCTTTGCATGAATGCCTTTGGAATGTTGTATGTTGCCGTGTTGGTCGCGTTCAGACGGTGAGGAGAACGTTGGAGACCAAGAATACTTCGACGACCAGCAGGACCAGGAGGAGTTTGCTAACCAAGGCAAGTATAGCATGGGATCTACCTTGATGCCTATTCACCTTTATTAATTACTTATTTCCATGTGTCTAATTTTGATACCCGTAAGGACATCCTAGTGATTGATTATCCTGTTCCTTGTCTCCTATGGGTTATATGCATATGAGTAGTTTGCTAGTGCTCAACATAAATATACGTGAGCTACATATTGAACAACAATTCTATGGAAAGAAAAGGTAAAAGTTGCTTTTAAACAACTGGATTATAGGGCGATGGAGCAAATGACTTTCGATCATAATGCTCTCGGCCCTCCATAAGGACTTATCTGTCGGCAAAAGCTGGGACTGACAGTGCAACCGTGAGGGTCATATGGCTCTGACTTTAGCTCAGTAATAGGACCTTTTCTAGCTTGTTAGAGGTTACCTTTATGGCGCAAAAGGGGCTTGCCACGTTGGGTATAGGACTGCCTCTGTTCCTATGTGTATAGCCGCGATGAATATGTGCCATGGGAAAGGGGGGTTCCTACATCTGCCTGCCAAGGAAACCTAGCGGCCCTAACTTGTTAGAGAAACCTATAAAATGGCTTCATAGTGTATCCTGCCCGCTCACCTTGGCAGTGATATGGGAGTAATTAACCCGGGCATACGGGGATCACGACTCGCGGTGAATGTGCACCACCTCTGCAGAGGGTAACAAACTGTTATAACAGCCGTGCTCACGGTCACGAGCGGCCCGGAAAACTCACAGAATAGATGGCTACTTATAATGTTGTTTATACGAGATGATTATGATGATATTATGATGATGTTACATGACTCAATTGGATCGGATATATGATCATGTGGGTTTAAATGGGAGCTTAAGCATAACTTGATAATAACTGATGATAAAATCTTGACTTACTAAAAGTGCTAACTGCAGTAAACCAGTGTCATCCTTTTTTAGCCTCATGAACCCCATGTTGTCTTGTTAAGTACGGGAAGTACTTACGCTTGTTTATTTTCTTTATTTGGATAAAAATTCCGGATGGGTAACAGATGACAACGTGTATGAGGAGTTTCCTGAGGATTATTAGGCTTGTGATCAACCAGTTGACCTTCCCTATGATGATGTTCCACAAGAGAGAGTTATCTTTCATTTTTCGTTGTGATGTATAAGACTAAGTTATGTTATTATCGTGATGTAAGATACACTGTGATGATACTCTTTTGTAATTTGTCAGCTTGTGTGTGTGATTGATCCCTGGGCACACACGAGTTTTGTGCATTCAATTTTATCCTTAAAATTGGGTGTGACGGAAGGCCAAAATTTTTTTCCGCCAAGCATATTGATAGGAATTATAGTCTTACTGAGTCAGTTTATGTTAAATCGATCATGAGGGATATATGGATCTTAAATATTAATAAGTTAATTGTCATCAATAGAACATCCATTACGAAAAATATTTTGTGGAATAATAAATCAACTGACTTGTGCAACCATTGACGATGTATGGATTGCCCATGTATCCGTCTGAGCACTTGCATTGGTATCCACCCCCTCGTGTGGCGTTGAGGTCTTGGCAGTAGCTGTTTGCACTGGCACATGCTGGAGCTGTCAGTTTACCCCTTACCCGTGATGGCCCAATCAAGAACCAACGTGGCACTTCTGTCTCCAACTCGATTGCTGAAGCTGTCTTATCCCTTGCCATTGAGGTCTCGCCGGCTGAAGTTGTACCTGAATCAAGTAAAAAAAAATCTAAAAAGCCTTCATCTAATTCAACGGATGATGAGTACTTGGGACAGTACAGATATCTTTAGAATTCGATCTATATATCAATAAACGTACCAGTCTTTGTAGGCCACAAAGGCATAGTTACATGGGCTGTAGTTCCACGCAGAATTATTGTCTTGGGTATTTTTGTCGGTGTTCCAACCAATCTCTATCGTGCTAAGGTTGCCTGGGATTGACGACTGGCAGCAGCCCAACCCCGTGCAAGGGTCTCCGTCTAGAGCCGAATCTTTCAAGCTCGCGAGGTAGCTGGTGCAGCCGGTGAAGTAGTTGGACCCACTTTCCAGGAACGCCAGTGTGTCACACCCAATGGCCGTGAAGACGTTTTCGGTAGGCGAGACTAGCAACGGCGGGTCGAGTGAATATCCGATTCGCCCTTGGTCTTGTTCGATGGTGTCGGACGAGTTGTAACAGACGTACGCAACAATTGCGTAGACATGCATCTCCCCGGTCTCTACCGAGATGCTCGTAATCTCCACGTTTTCGTTAGTGTATGGCCTTGGAGGGCTAAAACTATGGTTGCAAGCAATGGTGAAGTTACCCTCACCTGGCCAAGCGCAATCGGCGCCGATGCCAAATGGGTAGGGAATCTCTATGCTGCCGCACTTGCTAGGGCAGTGTGGAGCCGGCAGGGGTGATGAGGCAGCCATGCTGGAGACAGAGGCTGTGGACAGCAGCAGCACCAGATGGGAAACTATAACTAGTGCTGGAGAAAGAAAAAACCGGAGCACCTGTGTCATGGCTACCAGTTCTTTCAGGCTGGTTTTTGAAGAAGCTCGGTAAGCAGTTATAGCTTTGTGGTCTGTCTGGCTAGTGTTGGTGTATATATAGGCGCCCAGCCTCAGTGCCCGAGACATGCATGTGCTCTATGGCCTGTTCGGTTTGGCGGCAGGTAAAATTGCATGGTTCCCCATGTCGCTCAATTTTGAGGTCCTGAGATCCAATTAATGCCTGGAGCTCTCCCTGCTGGGAGGCCATGACCATGAACCAAACTGTGTGCAGTGTGCGGTGTGCCTCCATCTTGAGATGACCCCAGCCTATTTTCTGAGCATTATGCATTTAAATTGCAATTTGTATGTTCAAGGATTTTTAATAAATCAATGCGCTATCTTCACTTAGATGACAGACTTCTACTCAAAGAAAAGTCGGTATGATCCTTGATTATTTCCACAGTATCCTTATTAACAATAGACCACTTTCAGAGCCTGCTTCATTACTACAGAAATGTCCTATCAGAATCCGTTCATATATGTTACTACTATGATATCCAGTGGTATCACTCCCTGGTTAAAAGGCCTGGCATGAAGTCGTCATTACTCCCCATTATTGCCACGAACTAGATTAAGAGATACCATATTAACACCCTGGAAGTTTGCATAGATCTTGGTCTGAAAGTGCTCCTAGGGAAAGATGGCGTAGGGAGGAAGGTTAGCATACCAGTGTAAGAATCATGTGGCAATGATGATATCTTTTAGTTTTAGATGAAAAGTATGTACTTCAATTGTAAGTCAAGTCTCCATAGGAAAAATTTCTTGTATTGACGACACTCTTGCCCTGTTGTTGTTGTTTTCTTTTCTGAACAATATCTTGCGTGGTGTTATGGTGGAGAAAATTGCTTTCTCGGTTTGTCATAATCTGATAAACTAAAGTAGCCAGTGCCGGTGCCGAATGGGTACGGTATGTCTACGCCTCCGCAGCTCTGCTGGCAGCCCGGCATCACGGACATGCTGTTGTCGGCGGTGGCTGCCGTTGCTGCAAGAACGAGCAGCACAGGAACCATGAGCGGTGACATTGTTTTTGACACCGCTTCGTGATCAGTGGATTTGCTAGTTTCATTGTATCCACCGAGCGAGGTTAATTACCAAGCTATGGGGTTTATATAGATGAACGGGGTTGTGGGTACCACTATGAAATGAACTGCATTGCCAGGACCTATATACGTCATGTTTCGTACATCTTATATATAATTGCTTACGATCGAAATATGCTAAATCAATCATCATGTTTTTTTCACCCTACTCTATCCACACTTCTCCCCACAGCTTCCATTTGTACTAAGGGCACCCGCAACAGTAAGAGTCAGCTACTATCTCTAAGCCAACCTCTCCAATATTGTTAGCTATTAGCAATGGCTCATAGTATGATTAGGCCTACATGACACTCACATGTTCTTTGAATGTGTGTATGAGCCTAACTCTTGATCAAGAGCTAACTTTTATCTCTCTTCTATTAAATATGAAAAAAAATGCTCAGAGGTAGCTTATGAGTCACCCATTGCGGACACCCTAAAAATCGTACAAGATGGGTCAATTCAGTTCATTTTGATAGCCCTTTTATCTCATTTGAGGAACTTCTTAGGGAAGCGTTTGTCTCCATAGCTGTACCAAACTGGTCCATATATTGTTAGCCTAAAACCAAACAGTCCATGTAAACTAAACTGGACATAACAGTATTATAGGAACCCATTGGTGGCCAAAAACAGGAATTCAATCCTTGTAAAGAAACTATATAGGAGTAAATCGGAATTATTAGCTCGCTGTAAATTTCCAGGATATGCATGCCTGCTTCGTTATCATTTTGGACCTAATATATATATAGTATTGACATTATCGTAAATTAGTATATAAAATTATGGTAAATAGAGGTGGCTATGGAATAACTTATTTTGTAGCTGGCTATTGAATATACTCTATATATATATATATATATATATATATATATATATATATATATACACACACACACACAAAACGTATCTGGTTGGCTACCAAACAAGTCAATGATGTCTAGTGCAACTGGACTAGTGCAAACAAAACTGATTGGCTACCAAACAACCAGTCCACATAGTGGGCCACGAAAATACACAAAACTCGGCCGGTGGGGTACAGACCACCCCGCACGGTATTGGGCGCCTGACGAACCTGGGTCGTGCGGCACTCAGGTGCATCTCCATCACACACGGGCGTGGCACTCAGGCGCATCTCCATCTCACACGGCCGTGCGGCACTCAAGGAGCGCACACATGGCCGCGAGGCACTCAGGCTCACCACACACGATCCACAGGTCCGGACCCGACTAGACAAAGAAGAATCTCAGTCTCCGACCAAGAAAACCTCCCAACCCTGCAGAGCAACGAAGGGGATTTTTTTAACCCCAGTCTGAAATTCGTCCCAACCGTGTTTGAACTCAGGACCTGGGAGTGCCGCTGGAAGCCCCTAACCGACTGAGCTAGGGTCCTTTGGCGGCCAGGAAAATACACAAATCTCATTGCTAGACCGTTGATGTCAATTCTTCAGAAGAAACAAATCTTCTGCATTACTTTTTTTATGGAACTTTCTACATTATTTAGTGGCGCGGACAAACCTTCAGATGGATGCGATGAAATTAGTTATTTCCATCGAGCTGGAGTTTCGCAATTTTCGAAATTCGTTCGGTACTGTGCAGTTCTGCCGGAGAAATGAGTCCTGCCAAACTCAAGCTTCATTCATCGATGCCTATGCTACCAGTCCCAGTCTACCACGGGATCTCTCTGCTGCAGCAGCCACGCCTATGGATTGCGAATGGTTTTTTTTTTAGGAATAGGATCGGAGGGTCCAAAGCACGAGATCTTGACCGGTGGAAGTGAATCAAAGGGAGCGTGCGTTCAAAGGGGCTGTTTGGTTCGTACGGACTAGGGGGGGTTTGTTTGGTTCGTGGGACTAAATTTTAGTCCCTATCACATCAGATGTTTGATACTAATTTGGAGTATTAAATATAGACTAATTACAAAACTAACTGCACAAATTGAGACTAATTTACGAGACAAATCTATTAAGCCTAATTAGTCCATGATTTGACAATGTGTTGCTACAGTAAATATGTGCTAATGATGAATTAATTAGGCTTAATAGATTTATCTTATAAATTAGTCTCTGTCTGTGTAATTAGTTTTATAATTAACTTATGTTTAGTCCTTCTAATTAGTATCTGAACGTTCGATGTGACAGGAACTAAACTTTAGTCTCTGTAACCAAACACCCCAAAAGTCTCCATTCGAGAAGTCCTAGGAAATTATTCTAGGATGGAGACAGGTAGCTTGAGCCCAATCCACTGTGAAGTGTGAACTTAACGAATATTTAGGCCAATCCACTGATAACGTGGGAGTACCTAATCCACTGTGAAGTGTGAACTTAACACAGGACAGGATATGCTCTCTCCACTTTCGGCTCCTTTCGTCTGCTGATTGGTTTTGTCCAAGTCCAAAAGACGGCTGATGAAAACTGTTGTAGTATTATATTCTGAACAGTAGAAAGTGAAAGTGTAAATCTTTATTGATGAACAGTACACATATATATACATGCCCACGATGGGGCAGTTCCAGTGAACGTGGGAGAGCCCCGCTCCCATGTCCCGTCCGTACGACGTCTTTTCAGTAGTCACGGTAACTGCAATTAGTAGTTGCTAATTGCCCACTAATTGATTATTAGGAATATTAGAATATTCTTAACACTCCCCCATAATCAATTATCTTCTGGAGCTCCAATGTTCATCATAATTATTAATATTATTAATCCTTAGAAAACCCTGTGGGAAAAACTTAGGAACACATTGATATATCAGGATACCATGATAATCATATAGCAATGTCTTAATATATCATCTCCTAAAAAACCCCAGTGGGGAAAAACTAGATGATATGACATACATAATGCTGATACTGCCTCGTTAAAAACTTTATATGAGAAACCCTTTCAAGGTAAAACTCATACAAAGAAAAGAGTATAATACGATGTGAAATGGATTAAGTATCGAGAGATACTCCCCCTGATTTCTGCAAGTCTCTAAGTCTAACCATACCAATTCCTTCAATGCATTTATGAAACGTAGAATATGGTAGGGACTTTGTGAATAGATCGGCAAGATTATCACATGATTTAGTTTGCAGAATCTCAATTTCCCCATTCTTTTGCAACTCATGGGGATAAAATAATTTGGGGGTGATATGTTTCGTCAAGTTACTCTTGATGTAACCTGATTCCATTTGCACAACACAAGCAGCATTATCTTCAAAGATAATTGTTGGTGCATCAAGTGCACCAATTCCACATGATTTCAATATGTGGTCTACCATTCTGCGAAGCCATACACACTCTCGTGAGGCTTCATATAATGCAATAATCTCAGAATGGTTGGTGGATGTAGACACTAAAGTTTGCTTGGATGATTTCCAAGAAATTGCTGTTCCACCATTTAAAAATACAAAACCAGTTTGGGATTTGCCATTATGGGGATCAGATAAATAGCCAGCATCTGTATAACCCAATAAATTTTGATCTTGATTCTTTCTATAGAATAATCCAAGATCTCTTGTGCCATTGAGATATCTAAAAAGAGTTTTAACTCCAACCCAATGACGCTTGGTAGGAGCGGCACTATGTCTTGCTAATAAATTAACTGCAAAAGCAATATCCGGCCGGGTACTATTAGCAAGATACATCAGTGCACCAATGGCACTTAGATAAGGAAGCTCGGGTCCTAAAATCTTTTCACCTTCCTCCCTTGGTCTGAAAGGATCTTTCTCAACTTCCAAAGATCTAACAACCATGGGGGTTTTACATGGGTAAGCTTTATCCATATTGAATTTCTCCAACATTTTCTGGATATAGGTAGCTTGATATACAAAAATCCCAGATGAAAAATGCTCAAGTTGCAAACCTAAGCAAAACTTGGTTTGACCCAAGTCTTTCATTTCAAACTCCGC